TGCCAGAATTCGTCCACACCAATCTCGCGGCACTTCTCCTTTCGAAAGCTCCTGCCTCCCTGGCGACGGCAGCACTGCCGGGCCGGCTCGAAGCCGGCCTAAAGACGCCGGGTTTTCACAGTGCTTGTGTACACGCCAGCGCACTGGCCTGAAATACCCAGGCATGCCATCATTCACAACTTCAGCAGCCTACGCACTATCTCCCGAAGTACACTCCCCCAACATGCGATTGCATGAGGCCAGCTATCGCCCACTCTTGACTCCTGGGAACTGCAGACAAATGAATTCAGCCACCTGTGTCACAGATCTCCGTCATACTTCCGAAACCTTCCATCTTGTAGCTTGGCCAGAACATCAGAACCGATCCATACCCCCCAAAAAACGTCTTGAAGGCCTTTGCAAATTCCTTGGTGCACCCGTCGAGCTGAGCCTCACTGTGGCAGGAGCTTGGACCAGGACGGAGCCGAGGGCCTCGTGCACTCTTCGGATGATTCTTCGGAGCTTCCGGGGCAGATCAGGAGAGGGTATACATATTACAGTATACACCACGCGGTAGCATTATAGTATGGAAGTACAGTATAGTACATAGTATACTACAGCATCGTACAACAGTACCATGAACTATAATACATATCAATTATAATATGACCGAGGGGCAGGGAATCTGAGACTTGAAAGGACTAAGGACAACCCTGCACGAGCTCCGAACCTGCTGCAACGGCATCTGTTGAAGCTGCCTGCCAAGAAGGAAACTAGTGAGATAAGTGGAAGGGCAGTTGGCTGGCTCTGCTATGTCTGCCGACTTCCCAGCCGCTCCTGTTCCACGAGTCGTTGCCTATTGCAGCTGTCACTGCTTCGCAACTTCAAGCCGGCATGCATCCAGCAACACTATCGAAGTCATCCAAGACCTACATAGCCTGCAGTCAGGTTGCCTCGAGGTTGCCAGACTGCCTGGCAGCAGCATCATCTCCACATCATTGGCCTGTTGGTGCTTCGGGCACAAGACTTGCGAGGCCAAGTTCCACGAAACTAGCGACGAAAACGAGCCGTGCGAGTCCGTGCAACCAGATTTTTGTGGGCGCTCATGAAACTCGACATTGCTGCCAAGGCCTCCGAGCTACACAGTGACACAACCTGTGACTTGCATGCAGTAGGGGGGAAGTGCTACCAGGCCTTGAGGCTGCTGACGTCCATGGCTTCCAGCGTCGCCACTCTAAACTCGGGACGCGAAAGGCAACACAGCAAGCTGCGCGGACTTGAGGACTCTACTGCCTGCCCTGCATGGATGCAAGCCAGGCTGCATCCAAAGCCTCGGCCGTGTTCTTCACAGCCGAGACTTCCTGACGACTTCGGTCGGGGCATGCTTGCAACGCAGCCAGTGTGCTTGGGACAGCTCCAGCCACGAAGGTTCCGAAGCCTGGCCTTCCGACCCTCGAAGTCGAGTGTCTCTAACTTCGCCACTCGAGCCTGCCGCTGCACAAGCTCGCAGGAAACATCCCGGAGGCGAGTCCCACCCCATGCAGTTAGATCCTTCAGCTGGTAGCCTCCAAAGCCTCGACTTGAGCCGCGGCGGGAGCCGCCTATGGTGATGTCACGTTGCCAGAATTCGTCCACACCAATCTCACGGCACTTCGCCTTGGAAAGCTCCTGCCTCCCTAGCGACGGCAGCACAGCCGGGCCGGCTCGATGCTGGCCTACAGTAAAGACGCGAGGTCTCTAAACGCCAAGCCCTCGAAGAGCGTCGGCCTCGGACCTGGAACCATAAAGACATACTAAAGGACCCAAGACTAATCTTGAGTAGCAGTCAGCTTGTGGAGGTGGGGGGCCGATGTGGAAAGTTGGCTCATGTCTAAAGTTGTCCCAAGCCAAGCCATGCCCTTGAATGCCTCTCTTAACGCCGACTGTCCACCTTGGCGTGGAAGGCGGTTGCACCACGATGGAGCCGATTGCTTCCCACTCGTACTCTCGCTCCTATGGCTCACTCGCATTTGGAGCTCGGGATTGAACCTGAAATCTTTGCTGCTGAGTCGGGTCCTGTCGGCAGAGCTGGCGAAGCCTTGTGCAGCTGCACGTCAAAATCGCCACAAGAACGGCAGGGTTGACTGAAACATCACGCGGTGTGCGACACGTAAGGACATGGCTCTTCCACGAACTGGACCTGAGGAGTCTCAAGGATGAACGGAACGCCGCTGCGGGGTTGCAGGAGCTGAGGTGGAGGCGCTGCGAAGTAGCAAGGTAATCCTCCTCTCAGCCTGTTCTTGCACATTGAGCAACGGATCAGATGCCGGAGCTTCCACTTACAGGCCCATAATCCCAACATATAAAATCTTGAACGCGCGAAGCCCGACAGGCTAAGAAAAACATGTGTGCCGTGGGCAAGGAGCTTTATTGAGCTTTCATCTGTTCAGTTGTTCTAGGACACCGGGCGATCTCGTTATATTTTACCTTTCAACTGGGTACAGTCCCACCTCATGCAAACGGATCTCCAGTGCCGAAGTCAAGTCCTGAGCTGCGCAACAATCAAACTGCGACTGTTCAAGCTTCACTGACGAGGATGACGACAGAGGTTTGAACGAGCTTCAAGAGATCTTCATGCAGACGTGAAGCCATTGCTGTGACCTTTTCGGTGCAGCACCTGCGGGGCTCAGTTCTAGACCAGCTGCAAGAATTGCAGCCATGGCACCCCCCTGGCCCTCAGGATCCCACGAGTCGCAGATTAGACTCCTTGAGCTCCCTTGGTCGCGGCAGCTTCCAACATCAGCACGACGGAGCCGCTCACTCTGATGGTTGCAGATGCGGGCCTGACACAGCCAGACGAGACGCAAACGAAACCCGTCGCACGCGTCGATGCGGCGAAGCGTTGATACATGGCACGGGCTGCTGCAAAGCCTTGACCTTGACAGTGCAAAGTGGAGATGCTTATGCTAAACCTTCCGAGCGCATATCCCGAGATCGATCTCTGAAGTAGAGAAACCGAAGCTCTCAGTTCGAATCTGAAGCCCTTGACAAAGCTGAAGCATCAAAGCTATCTTCGAAATAAGCATCGTGTCGAATCTTGAAACCCCTTGGTCAAACCTCCGACCATTTTCCCGGAATTCTGGGCCTCACGGGTAGGGTGCAGTCTTCCGGGACTCGTCGGGCGCGCCGCAGCTGAAAGGCAGCACAAGTGCCCGACAAAACTGAAAGATACTGCCTTCAGTCTATTTTTGGCAGTTGGTTCTGCGGTGTACGGAACTGCATCAAACTGGTGCTGAGAATGCATCTTTGCAGTCGGTTCCCCGCCTGTACTTCGGAGCTGCGCTGCCAGTGCGCAGCGCATGGCTCCAAAGCATGCAAGCTAGCACTGCATTGGTGTGCAAGCGGGTGTGGCTGAGGTTGACGGCTTTGTTCTAGGATGAATTGCCCCACATCTGGCCTGTGCAGCGTTTCGCGGCCTGTCGCACCCGGCAATCACTGCAAGCATTTTGAATCCTACGGCCATTGTAAGTCTAAGGCAGGCCAGGCCAAGCCTTACAGCAACGGAAATTAGGAGCAGCATGGCAGAAGAGAAGCGGTGACGCACAGCCAGTAAAATCCGCTGCTGCCGAATTAACCGGATTCAGGCCCATCCTTGATCGATATATCCGCCCCAATCTTCGAGCAGCGACTTGAAAGCCTTGCGCCCCTGAGTTCATGCTACTGGCAGCCAAGGCCACTGCCGATTGGCAAATTCACGCTCCCGCCGTGGATCCGTCTTGACCACAGCTGCAGGCAGTGTATTGCGATCCTGTCCGAAGTAAGTAAAGCATGCAGTCAGGCACTTCTGTATCTACTATCATGGAACAAGGCGTGATCGACACCACCCGCAAGCTCGGAGTTGCGGGTTTTATTCAGTCCGACCGCTGCCGTGCAACCGTGCAAGCCGTCCAAGCAAAGAGTGGATCGTGGATGCATTCTGCCTCAAGCCTCTTCCTTCTGGCATAACACCGCATCTCTTGCAAGCCATTGAAGCAGCACCCGATACACCTATCCAAAGTTTAGAGAATCCAAAGTCAGCTTCAAGTTGTCATTCTGGTACGGAGTTCCATGCTGACTAATTACTCATTTCAGACACCAAAACCCTCGTCAGTGCAAACGCTCATGTGTCTTGCCGCTCAAACTCAACTCCTTTGACACTCAAGCCTTTGTTCACTGTCGAGCTTGTGTGAACCCGCAGTCCTACACCTGGATCCCTGCCTGGCGTCGCGGTGCTGCCGTTGCAGCAAACGCCGCCCTGCTACTTCGGGAAGGCCTGAGAGATGTGTGAGCTCTTCCGGGATTTGGCCAGTCAGCATCTTGGAGAGCAAAGGCACGAACATGTCTCTGTGTGCGTGTTTGTGTGGACATATGTGTATATATATATATATATGAATATGAGTATGAATGTGCATATACACATGCGTAAACTGTACGAGAGTTAATGCAACTCCTCCTTTGGCCGCCACTTATCTACAGCTTCGTTGGGTTTTGACGGCATGAACCACAGTAGCCTTCGGGCCTGTGTTTTAGCAAAAACCTTGATTGAGTGGTCAACCCATCCCAAGTCAGGGAAATCAGAACTTCGAATTTCCGATGCAGGTGGGAGCTGTCCGCTTCCAGAAGCGGGCAGAAGTCTCCAGAGACTGCAGGCAACCGGAGGGGTTTCTCAACTTGGCTTTGCCATGCGAGGCCTCTAATCGCCTCAACCCTGATGACTAGTGTTTCACAAAAACTATCCGATTCGCTTCTAATGCCCGGTGACTGCAGGGACGTTTTTGAGGGTCCCACGCTGGACGCGGCTTTGCGTCTGGGTCCTCTGCGTAGTCCTCGAGCAGTACCGCGCTGGGCTCTTCCTGTAGAAAGGACGACCATCGGGCCAAGGGTTAGGACCACGGCGAGGTTTCGAATTGAGTGAAACGGATGACATCATATTGACAGCAATAGTATTTAGCTTACTGCCTGATCCTTCCGTCCACCATCCATGACACGTAGCACCCATGGTACTGCACGCACCTACACACTACGTGGAACTGCTCGCCATTTGTGCACCAATTCTCAAGGCAGGTTTCCGGTGTCGAGCTCGCTACGGCAATCCTTGATATCAATGTTGGTGGGCGCATCCAAACCGTCCAGTCCCAATCTCAAGTGGCCTGTCTTCTCTCGACAAACTTTCTGCCGCCTCAGCTTGGCCTTTCTCGAGCCACTGAACACAGCGGGCATCTCGGCTGAACCAGTTCTGATTCTTAAAGGAAAAATCATACCCCTTCCGAAAAAATACCAAGATGAACCCATCTGGCCTTTGGTCCTGCAGCCCAGAAGGGCGGCATGGGGCTCCCAGGCTGGATGCTGTACACCCCCGAGATCTGAAGGGGGTTAGGCGGGCTGAGATAAAGAACCCTCAGTCAAGGACGCTTCTACAGAGTTGAAGCATTCTGGGAGTCCGAAGCGGAGGACTGCGACATGTTGTCAGGGTAGAACGGCTGACGGTCGTTCTGCTGAGGTGGTCAGTGACGCTGGCAGATGACGGCTTGGTTGCGAAGATGTGCATCGGCCGCGACATTCAGACTGCTCCAAGGCCTGCAAATCTCAAGACCTCCTCTTCAAATAAAGGCACTTTAGCAACATTGGCCGGTTTCGTGCTCACACAATTGCAAAGGCTTTTCAGCCCTCTCCTCCAATTCGGCTTGAACTCAGTATATTTGGCCAAATTCCAAAGCGAGTATTCCGTAGTTCCAAATCCAAACTTCCATTCCAGCATTCCGCACTTCCACATCCAACACTCCGAGATCGGATCTTCCAACTATCATATATCGGTTTAGCAAGTTTGTGCTAGTTTGACAGCTGTGTTGAAGCCCTGCCGATCTTTTCTGGCTTCCAGCACTCGTCGCCCTTTTGGCGTGAAGCTGTGTGTTCAGCTCCCTGGAAGCCATGTGACACACAAGGTACGTGGAAAGAGGCCACATTGGGCCAGATCCAACCAGCATAGAAGGCTTTGCGTTTCGTCTCGTTCGAGCCATCAATGTTCAATTGATCACTGCACGATGGCGAAGATGTGAAGTGGTTTTGCAATGGTCCAGTTTGGCCAACATTTACTCTTCGCTCCATTCCGGGAGTCGTTTCACCATCAGCAGCACCTGGCATGGGAAAGTTTCGGAAGGAATATTAAATGACTTAAGATGGCTTAAACTTATACCTTATGGAAGTCATCTCCGGTTAGATGCAGCGACCTACTAACAAAGGAACTCGTGCGTGAGCTGTGCTCCAACCCCGGAAGATGCACGATCACAGGTATTTCTGAAAGCCTCAGGCCTCACACTTCCGGAGGAAGTGCAAACGTCACTCTCTGCTCCCTGCCTCTTCGCGATCTGGCGATGAAGTGCCTTTCACATGGAGGCTTATGAAGTTGGGTCAAGCACTTATGGATCTTCGATGGCCTTCTGACGATGTTCGAAGGCGAGGAGGAGGGCGCTGAACCTCTGATGGCAGAACTCTTCGGGGTTTTCTGGCCGGGCCCGACAGGCCCAAAGATTCGGAAGAACCATAAAACACGAGCAGAAACACAGTTTTCGACCTACGAGATGTGGTATCCAATGCCGACCCGTCCGAATCTTACGAACACAGCTTTGCCGTTGATTCATGCAGCTGAATGACCAATTCCTATCGTGAGGATCCTCCTACCAGTATCTTCGTCTCCAAAAAAGGAATACCCCTGTATGCTGGCCTTCGGCTGTGTGAGCAAAAGGCCTCTACCCAGGGCCACCCGAATGGATAAATGACATGGCTCGAAGTCTCAGAGTCGTTCTCCACGTCCTCCCGATGAGTCCATGAACAAATCTCGTCAACTACATCTACTTCACAAGTTCAAGGCACTGCTGAACTGCTGGCACTGCGGCTCCTTGCAGCTGCAGAGGATATCCAATGTGTCAGGTGTTGATGCCTCCCAAAGCCAAGCTTCAACTTCTAGAAACGAAGAGCAGCATAATCATGGCATCGACTGCCGCATCCATCAGGCAGCAGCGAAATTCACGTCTGTTCGCCGCTACAGTCGAGAACGGAATTCTGGACTCCACTCCACCTCGATAAGGGCTTCTGCTGTCACGTAACCTGAGCTTCGCTTGCTCTGCGTGAGCGAACCAGGCAAACGCTGTTAATGGAGATAGCGAGGCCACGACAGAACATCAACGCCTCTTCTGAGCTCCGTGACAGACAGGAACAGGTACGCTCTTCTCGTTCCATGCTTACTCTTAACACCATAGAACCAACTTGAAGAGCCGTAGCCGTTCTCTTCTCGACAAGCGGCTCTTGTAAAGCAAAGCGAGGTGAAGTGGCGTGACATCGCGCCAAAGCCAAGGCTCCTCCTGGAAGGTAACGGGAGGAAACATTATTATAGTCTGAGAGCACTGCAGTACTACAGGTATCAATTCAAAGGAGCAACCACAGAAAGCCTAAGAGAAATAGAGCAGGCAGTGCCGATCGGAGGGCTACACCTCACGAAGGCTGCGCGGCGCCTTGTCCGAGCCTTTCTTGGATTCGAGGGTTGCCCAAACGTGGCGGCACACAGCACCGAGCATCTCCTGCAACCGAGGCTGCAGCAGGGGCTGGAAGGAGTAATGTAGGGGCCTTAACAATTAGAACAGGGTTTTGGGGAATCTTGTGCTCTAAGGCATCACCAAGAGAGAATAGGTCATTATTAGGCCCCTATATTCAGTCCTCCCAAGGGGTGCTCGAGTTGATGGGGACATGCAGTGTGCGCACAGGGATGGCTTCTGTGCCCCATCCCATCCTTGTACTGCGGTGGCCGCTTCTCTCCAGGGAAGACAAACGGCACCTTGATCAGAAATGTAACTAATTAATAGCTGCTACATGACATTGGCTGGGTGAGACCAGGCGAGTCCATGCCTAAATTCTCTGCGTGGTAGGCACCACATACCAAAACACACACACACACACACACACACACACACACAGAGACAGAGACAGTTTCGAACCTTGACACGGCCTTGTTACTGTGATTCTGCTACTTCGCACACGCACACGGCATTCACCAGTATTCCTACCGAGTGTGGCTCTTGAGGACGAAGTCAGTATTAGGCATGCCATCCAGGGAGCATCACCACTCGCCTCTCCCAAGAGTGCCGAGGCAGTGGCCTTCCGGACAAAACTGCAGAGATCCGATGCTTTTGAAGAGACGTGAATCTACAGGTGACTCTATTCGGCAAAGGGGTTCAGGCTTCCAGTCTGGATGCCCGACCTGCCTTCTGATCCAGCAAGGAGCAGAGATGCAATGGAGTCAAGCCTCCCAGGCTTCCGCCGGAAAGCAGCGACTTCAGAGGAAACACCAACTGGTACTTCTTTGCATTGCTACTTCACTCTGATCCTCGAGCAATGGGGTAGAAGGGGTTCCTGCCAGTCCATGCACCTACCGAGCGGATACCTAGATGAACCTGGAGCCCCTGAACTCCGGCCAGCGCCTCTGAAACAGTTGTCCGTCACCGAGTAGTGCCATGGAGCCTGCAGAGGTAAATGCCAAACTGGCTGCACGGCGGCTGCTTGAATGCAACAATGACTACTGATCAAAAAGCTCGATCAAGTGGCCTCGATGGCAACATGGTCGACCGGCTGCAGAAGGTTGGCACCGAGCCTGCACGATTTCATTCTAGACGTGCCGCCCCATGATGCTCGAATGCTTGAGTCTGGGATGTTGGGTTCGTGTTGAAGGGCTTGCGAGTCGTCGTGACGCCCTAAGTTAGTGTTCTTCTCAAGGCAGGGTGAGACTGTCTAGCGCAGCGACGGATGCTGCATTATGAAGCCGGTGCCCCAAGACAGACTGGATTCTCAAGCCCTGGAAACCTTCTACCCACAGAAGACAGAATTGGACGGCATGTAGGAGTACATGCCACATCGGGTGCCTCACCAACAGCAAGGCCACATCGCTCCTTCCCAGCAGCAGCGCTAGGTGGAGAGGTGCTAGACCTGATGGCAAAGAAGAACAGCTTCAGAGTTTGTGTCTGTGCCGATGACGCAGTCTGCAGGTGTCGTGCAAGCACTAGTCGCACCGGAGAGTTGTTTGCGTATGGATTTCAACGACTTTCCTGCTCTTCTGAGTGCCACTGCCCTCCCAGGCCCACAGCGGATCCGTCAACGTCCGCTCCTCCACCTGATCCGCCGGAGCAGCTTCTCATGTCTGAAAGATACCGGTCGTTACCCTGCCACGCGGTATGGTCTTCGTTTCATCAAGCTCGCCAGCTCACAGGTCTGAACTCCCAACCACATGGCTTGGCCTAGTCAAGCACCGCATTCAAGGCTTCAAGAAAGGAACTCTACCTTCACTCTCGCTGCACAGCCTTCCAAGGAAAGAAAGGCGGCGTGATGTCTGGAGTCAAAGCTGCTGCGTAGTTCCTTGATCACAGGAGTCTGATATTCTCTGATCTAATGTCTGCCAACACTGTAACATCTCTCAGAGCTTCTGAGTGGTTCTGCAAATTTGGCCCTCAAGTCCAATCCCCGGCAGCCAGCTAGGTTAGGCTCTCGTATGTTGCCCCATGGGGGAATGCACTAAACATGCGAGTTTTTGCACGATCTCACCCTTCAATATTAAAGTCGGTCAGTCTACTCCTTTTCCACGCAATTTCATGCACCTGCCAGCATGTGCGTGTGTGTGTGTGTGCGTGCGTGTGATTGTGTGTGTGTATGTGTGTGTCTTCTGAACTTTTGGACGCATTGCGTCAAAAAATATGGTCCGTTCATGAATGCTGCTAATCGGATGCCGTCTTGGTGGACGTGCCTATGGTCCGGGCATGGATGCTCTGGTAGTAGGATGGGGGTTCTGGCTGGACCAAAAACATTGGATGGCGAAAATGCATGAAAGCATTGGGCAATCTCTGTGGGCGCCCCGTCGAGTATTCGTGCTCCTAGGCTTGTCCGTCTTGGTGCAAGTCTTCGGGCAGAAGTTACCATGGGCCCAGGACCGCAAAACCTTGGCCCTAGACCCTAAATGCTGAGCTCGTAAACCCAAAAACCCTCAGCCCTCAAGGCACCAACCCCTGAAACCCTGAACACCCTAAAGCCACGGGCCCAGTGGCACGTCTGGCAGGAGCCCCTCGTCGCGCAGATCCCGCAGCATTTCCAGAGATGCGCATCGCACACACAGGAGTGCCAGGTCCTCAAGCCAGTTCTTTGCAAATCTGGCACTTAAAGACCACATGGGACTTCCTGACTAAAGCTTTTCAAACAAGGTAACCGTAATTACAGATACTTGTGCTTATACCCGCAGCTAAGGTACTTTGAACCTTACTTGCTAGGTTCCATGATCCTCCGGGCAGGGTTCTTACTACAAGGAGCCCCAAGTAATCATTGAGGTACCACCTGATCAGACTCCCGCCTAAAGATTGAAGAGTTCTTCACTTTGCTGTCGAGCTTTGGGGTGTAGAGTTCAGGCTTTGGAGGATTGCAGCTGACCCTAGACTCTGAAAAACTCTGATAGGTGCGTGGACCTGAGCGAACTGTTCAGCTAACTCGAAGTGCACTGCAAAAACCGACGGGTCCATCTCCAAACCGCAAAGCTTGGGATTCTCCATGGGGTCCAAGAGCACCTGCAGGGCTTCCATGAACCGAATGCGCTAATTTGCGAGTAAAGCTTCGTAGCCTCACTGAAAGAGGTACTTGTAGCGACTGCGAGTCGCTTTTTTCGCAAGGGCCTCCGTGACGAAACCCTCCAGCTTGGCGCCGGCTTTGAGCAGGGCCTGCCTGCAAGCTGGCCGGGGCAAATCGGAGAGGCCCGAACGAGGTTGGAAGATCAGTTCTGGAGTGCCAAAGCCTATCTCCGTCGCCACAGAGAAGAAAATCGTAGAGCTACAGTAGCCCTGAAAGGAAGTGCTGGCTTTGAACATTCTGGCAAGTTGCAGTGCCCACATCTGGTCCAGAACCACTGCAAGGTGCACCTGAGCATGTGGACGGGTCCTTTAGAACTAGTGATTTGGAGGTCTCGTCGGCTCACAAGCTCTACACCACTAGCTACATAACCCTCTCTTGCACCGTCCACGATGGGAGCTTCCAACCAATTTCCCCCATGTCTGCTCTGTAGCCGAGGGCACCGGACGAATACCTTCGAAGGCGGTTCGCCCACCACAGAAGGCTTCTACTAACCTTTCACGAAGCTGGCAGAGACTCACAAAATCGAATCAACATTGCCTGATGAGAAGGCGCGTGTTTCGCTCGCGGCAGCGAGGCGGTATGTCACTGCACTAGCTCAAAGCCGGAAGCGCAGTGCTGAGATACAAAAAATCGCAAAAAAAAAGAGCCAGAGGCAGCGAGTGTGGGATGTTGCAGCACACATTCGTAGAACTTAGATGTTCAGATGTACATTGCAGGGATGCTGCTGCAGCCCCTGCCTCCGGAAAGACTCTCAACGTATGAAACCATCGTATTATTGGAAGCACGAATGGAAGTACCATTCCGCTTGCTGCAGTACGACGTGTACTGTCCGGGTTAAAGCTCCCTGGCTAATTACCATGCTCTATCTCTGTTGCACGAACTGTTCAAGCTCAATCCTTGTCCAAGTTGGTTGCGGTGCCTTCAAGGATTCAATCCTTGCCTGCACCTCATGGCAGCGTCTTGCCAAGGCTTCCTCCTGAGTTGCGAGTAGCTCCTCAAGGCTCTCGAAGTCCGCCAAGCCTGTATCAACGAGTCGTTGCAAAGCATCCAGCTCCGAATCGCTTTCTCCATTGGTCTCATCGTGAGTGCTAGCGCGAGTCTGTACTGCCTCACTGCCACTTTCATCCTGACTTTCTGGACCTGTTCGGCCCACACAGCGAACTTGCATGGATTTCATCCGACTGGATGTGCCAGAAACTCGGAAGTCAAGCGGCCTGCCAAAGACGTTCGAATTCTCCGGCACATGAGGCTCCTTGATGGTCTGTTGGGCAGCCTGCATCCTCAGCCACTCTGTAAATGGCCGTCGAACACGAGGTTCCAAATAGTCCACGAAGGACAGAAGGTCACCCTCATCTGAGAAGTTCAGCGTTGCAGTCTTGACTGCAAGCCTTCGGGTCGAAACGTCTACATCTAGGACAAGCTTCGCGAATTCGGGCAGGTCCCTCACAGTCGAGCACGAGACGTCGCTGGCCGTCACAGTCCTGGAGAAACCACTGTTCGTGCTCTGAATGTCGGGAACAGCTGGAAGCACATCGAGGCCTGTGGGCATGCCCGATGCATCCACACGCAAGTGGCTGCTGACTTCTCGCAGCACGAGCAAATGATTGTCTTTGCCGGCTGGAGAGTGGAACACTTCAACCAAAATACGCTTGTTGGCCGCATCTCGCATAGAGAGATGGATAGCGGCCGCTGGTGATACCTGGCTCCCTGCACAAGACTTCTGAAGGAAAGTCTTGAACTTGAGTTGCTCTTCTTCGTCGTGCAGAAAACTGAGAAATGACAACGCCTGCAAAGCCTTTACATCTGACGCATCCATGCGCACAATGTCACAGAACTTCGCACTGGGGTCAAGGATTAACAGCTTGGAGTCCAGCATGACTTGTGCATCGGAAAGAACCGCTAGCACCCGAAGCATGGCAGACTCGCGGACAGCATTACGTTGCCAGAAGTGGAGAGCAGATGCGGCGGCAAAGGCTGCAAAGAATGTCATAGCATCCAAGATCAAGGCAAGCACCAAAGAATCGAAGCTGGAACTCCTAGGCCCTCCGGACCCTCCAGGCCCGGAAGGCCTTGCCCAGGTGGACACGTGACAGCAGGCTGCCGTCCCAGTGCTCACCAGGCTTAACAGCACAGTGCTCTTGTAGTCCAGCAGCATTGCACTGCAAGGAACAAGCAAGAGGCTTAAACAAGTTGAGCCGAGAACATCTCCATCACTGCCACATGGAAGGACCATGCTGACCATGCATGTGATCACCAAAAGATGCCAAAATAATCCAACACTGCATGCTCTCCAACATGTCTTTTCGACATGCCGGGACAACCATGCGCATGACAAGTGCAGCGCCAGCAGACCCCAAGCGAGTGGTGCACCGGCAATCTTGCCGGCCTCGCCGCCAGACGTCCAAACCAATACTCCAATCACGATCACAACCATGAAGAGGAGTCCATCGGAAAAAGGACCAGCGGCAACTCGCAGGAGTGAAAGACATGCCGAGCTTGCACTACGGTCAGCCCCTGCTGCTTCCGCCGCTTTGCTCTTCAAGCGCATGCTCAAGTGCAGCAGGACAGCGGAGCCGGCTGTAACGAGAAAGGCCACCACGGTGAAAGTGAACTCCATGGCGCAGGACATTTGTCGGGTTGCGCGGGTTTGCCGCGGCTGCAACCTACATCGTGAAACTACCTTGAACCAGCTTAGAGCCCGGGCCGGTTCCCCTCCCATGCCGCCCGCCCTCCCTCATTCATGTTGGGCCGCTGACTCCCTACGTCCTGCCAGCAGCAATTCTATGCTCTTGGTGGCTTTAGGGGTGAGGTTTTGGGGTGTCGGGGGCCTTAGTTTAGTTTAGCCTTTAGGGTATAGGATTTGTTGCAGGCCGGCGAGTCACATGGTCACAGAGCCTGGAGCCCTCCCTTCCTACCAACCCGAAAGCCTTTCTGTCGTTGCCGACGAGGAGAGCGGCTTGCCTGCCCAAAGCACAGCAAGGGGATGCCTGGGCCTGGGCACGATTGCACCCAAAGCCTTCTGTAAGGGTGCGGAGTGCTCCCTCAAACGGCAACGAAAGAGGCAAGAGGGCAGCTCGGAGATGAGCCGAAAAAGCGGGACATCCTGGCCTTCCAAGAGCTCCTTCGTCTCCTCCCCAGAGGTCGGCCAGGCAAAGGCCTGAACGCTCACTTTCACCCTCTGGCGACACGGGGAAGGAACCCCAGAAGATTCTGGAGCTTTGAAGGAGCCCCAGGCCCCCTGGGCTTTTCTGGCCTTGTTGAGGTCCGTCCGTTGCTCCAGCAAGGCCTGCAAGGCCTCGGCTCCCTGGAGGATGGCCTCCACCCAGTCCTGGCAGAGGAGAAGAGTTCGGAGCTCAATACCTTGCAAGTTCAACCTCTACGGAGCTCTACTGATCAAGTTTTGGGCGCGGCTTCCAGGGCCCTTCGGTGAGATGCTGTGCTCACAGTCTTCAAGCTACTCAAGCTTCCCGTCGCTGCAGGCTGTCGCTGGGGCTCTTCTTTGGCATTTTTGAGAGCCAGAAGTGATTAGATCTGGGTCCTTGTTGGATACAACTTTACATTCTTGTTCTAATCAACCCCAATATAAGGATTAAGCGGTTAAACACATAAATTGTCATTTTCCATCAGAGCCCCAAAGCGGGAACCAGTCAGACGAAGCGCCGGGAAAACCCCCCTTTTGAGCCTGGCCTGGAGCCGGATTGGCGAGGAGCCTCCGAACATCTCCCGGAGGGGCCGTCGCTGAAGGGCTGCCTTCGGTTGTGACGGAGAGGGAAGTTGCGACATTTTGGGACTTTTTGGGGTCTGGGGAGGTGCTTATAGAGGCTCAGGGAGGTTTAGGAGACCACTAGTGTGCCGCGCCCTACTTCGCAAAACCCATGCAACACCCTGAAGGCGGGAGAACCGTTCCCCGATCAGCCTCACGGATGGTATCGGTGACTTCTGCACCGCAGTCAATGCAGCGCGTGCAGCCCTGAGATGTCACATCGCGCAGGGATTCGGGATGTTCTGGCACTGCCAGCAAAGGCTCTCTTTCACACTCGCTCACTCGCTCACTCACTCACTCCCTCACTCACGCACTCATGCACGCACCCACCCACTCACGCACTCACTCGCGCACTCACTCGCGCACTCGCCCACACCCACCAACACCAAGCAAGAGCTCATGAGAACGCAGGGCGCCCTGCTTTGGCATCTTCCATGAGCACGGCCAAGTGGAGCGGGGTGACCTGCCATACGGAAAGGAACCCGCTCGGTGCATCCGTATTCAGCACTTAGACTTAGCAGCTTCGGCTTTCATAAAACCATCCCCAAACCCTGTCCAAAGCAGCTTCAGGCCTAGGGTGGGCCTTGCACGGGCGGTGAGCTTGGATCTCTGGGCCCCCCCCCCCCCCTTCCCGGTGGTAATTTTTGTGGCACGGGAGGTCCTACAAAGAGCTGCGAGACGGTGAGAGGTGGGAGTTCAGGTCCCTTTCCCCAGGCACCATTGCCTGTGCGGCCGTTCCATCGGGAAGTCGCTGCTGGGCCATGGCCTTGACTCCAGGGTTCCGGAGCATGTGAAAGTTCTCCAAGATTGCTGCGGACAGTAGCCTCGCTAAGGAAGATTGCTTGATGCTACACGACGCACATCCAAGTAGCCAAAACCAGACCTGGCTATCTGGCACCGCAAAATCCCTCGAACGGCCAACGCACCGACAAAGAGCCACAGAACAAAAAAACACAAGAAAGAGGCCTCGAGCCGGCAGCCCATCTGCTTCAGAGGCTCCACCAGATCCTGGAGCTCGGGGCTCCAGAGCTCGGGCTCTGTGCAGCTTGGTCTCTTCATTCCATGCTCCGGGTCAGAAGCTTTGAGTTCCACAAGCTGGGACAGGAAGCCAGCGCTCAACTCTAAATCCCGAAGAGCCAAGGTGCGAAGCTCCGGCTCAGGACGACGAGGTGTAGCAAGCTCAATCCAGTCCACTCCTCGCAGGGCCTTTGGAGCTCAGGGATCAGCTTGGGCGGCGCTGCAAGGATCAGAGGCCGTAATGGGCCGTACAGTTACTCAGTAGCACAGAAGCCGAGTGGCTCTTGGTCGGCATCGTCGCCCGAGTCGAAGACTTTAGCGGAACCTGAGAAGTTTACAGCTGCAGGCATCTGTTAGGAGCATGCAGCAGCAATGCACGTAGGATGCCAAACGACGCTGCCGTTGCTGAAGAGCCCATCTGAATAATTGAACCAGCTCTAGGCTTCTGGCTCGCTCTTCTGCAGGAAAGGCACATGTGAGATCGGGGCTGATGTCGAAGAAGAGCAGCTGCTCGACCATGACCAAGTCGCTGCGCAGCACGGCCTTGGCGGAGCAGAGTAAGACTCGAAGTACGCACGGGTAAAAAAAGGGCTCTGAACCGAATCAGCAGGACCGCCAAGTTGCCAGTTGTACCGCTTGGGCCTGCAGCACCATCATTCGCCTTCCAGTTTGGATGGCAGCTTAGAGCATCTGTTCCCGAGATACGTACACGCCATGCTGTACTTCACTCAAAGTCTCGTCTCGTGGACCCTTGCCTGTCGTCCATGGCCAGCACTCGTCGCATGCTCCGGGTAGCATCGGCACCGGCGTAGAGCCTGGATTGGTGCAAGTTCACGGAGCTGCTAAAGCACCAGTTCTCAGCGACCAACTTTTCCATCGGCGTCTGCAGAGGCACTTTGGGAGACACAGCAAGCATTGGCTTTGCTTGAACTTTGAAGCTCTTAATGGTCTAGGCATAGAAGTGCGGAACCCAAACCAAGTCAGGATTGCATGCTGGATGTGAGGTCAGCATGGAAAGATTGCTGAAGCAGATTCCGAGGCACAGAAGCCGAACTGCTTCGCAACGGCCCGCCTGTGCTGAACAGTGCGGTGGTGTTTGCAGTGACGTTGGCAGGGATGCAGCTCGAAACCACACGGTTGAGTGGGTGCCCAACACCTTCAACCCTAAGCTGAGCCGACGTCGAAGTGCCTGGGCAGCAAAAAGCAGCGCCGTAGGGGGCTCCTCGTTCCGTCCTTCCACATGCAAGGGCGGCCACCGCTAGGAGCATTACAAGCTTTCCCGGCCAGGCACCCGATGGATCCTGAGCTCTGTGAGCTTTCTGGATCGGGATCGGCGATCGGGAAGTCAATGTCGCTGGCACATCGATATGCTACCTCAGGCGCCACGGCGTCCCCCGGCAAAACCCATACCTCTCAGCTCTGCTTGCTGTTGCCAGTTATTGCTCCTCGCAGGACCAGCCAGGTCGCGTCATGGTCGCGCCGCAGAGCGGATACAACCTCACGCTACAAGGGATACAAGGCAACATGGTTTTTGTCCGCCTTGCCACCTCCCTGGCCGACACTCCTAGCAAGCCGAGGTACCTCCAGGAACTCGTTGAGTTCGTGAGCTAGGCCAGCCGAGCGAATGATCAGCTGAACCTGAAACAGGACAGGACAGAGGTTGATCCCCAAAACCTCTCAAAGCCGTACTTCATAATCATGCCCCCTGAAGGCCTCTATATGGATATGTATCCTGCTGCTACTGTGTTACCTTCTGATAAAGCAAACCATAGACACCTCATTTCACCGCCTCTTCCCTCAGGAGCATGTCCAAGCGCTCCTCCGTGGCGTGTTGGTTGCCCAGCAGCCTGCCAAAGAGCCGATGCTTTAGAGTTGGGAGTTCTGGGGTGTAGGGCCTAGGTTTTGATCAGAGTGCATCTGGGTTGTCTTGAAGTTTCAGCGGTGCCGAGGTGTTGCCATGAGGAGCCATGTGCCAGCCTTGGAAGCAGTAATCCAGGAATTTCACCACCTGCAGCGCGGTGTTCGAGCCGAGGTCAGAGTCAGTCTTACACGCAACCGCAACTTTGTGTTCGTAGGCATTGTGGACGAGGCAGCAAACCCCGGAGTCTGACCTGTACGTCTTCAGCTGGTGGCTACTTGAAGGATCGGGAGACATGGTATGTAGTGATTTTGTGGTGCTATAAGTAGCATAACCCCAATAAAGATCCCACTTAGGACGCTTATAACTCCAGATTACTACTTGCTACGTCCTCCGACCCTCAAGTACTTGCCACATTGCTAGTTTGCTGCGTTTGAAGCAGCATACAATTCATGCACAACATGACACGAGTCGGAAGTGAAGTGTCCGAACAGTACCTCAACAGCCTCCCTTAGCCCATCCGAATGCAAAGCCTCGTCTTTGGAGGCAGCAGGAGCTGAGTCGAAGCCCTCTTCGCATCAGAAGCCGGTAGACCTCCCGGAGGTAGTTGAAACAAGGGACTGTTGCAGCTCGGTGCCGCGAGACAACAGTTTTTCAGGTGTCGCTCCAACCTCCTCGCTGTAGATGTCCTTGGCCACCAAAACCTAGGTCGCATGAGAAAAAACTTCAGGTGCCAAAGAGGTCTGAAACAGTGAAGACGCTCTTCTGAAAACGCTGACATGACTTCGTTGCTCAACTTAGGAAGTGGGCATGAAGCGCGTGGAGGCCCATCAAAGTGTGCGCCAGCGTCTCTCCTTCGCCATCCACTGCTGAGGCCTAAGCAAAGCGAACTCTGGCAAAGAGCTCCATGATGAGTTAGAAAGCTTTCATGACAATAAGCTCAAGCGCCTCGGCCTCTGCGAAAAGATCGCCTGGAGGCTGCAGACGGAAGCTCTTGGGTCCGAACGTGTGTGCTTTTGAACTATATGTCTTCAAGTCCGCACAACTCGGGGTTTCGCCCCTCCGAATGAGGGGATCACGTGCGGGGTTATAAGTCCCCTAATGTGGGTCATAAGTGTAGTTACCCGACTTCTAACCCTAGTAGTTATAACTCCCCATGAACCTCCAAGTAGTCTTCAGCATCCGGCCTCCGGCTGCTAAGAGCGCCTCCACCACCGCGGCATCGCCACGCAGCGCAGCGCCGTGAAGTGGCGAGCAGAAGAGGCCTACTAGGAGGGTCACTCCGGGTTTTTAGGGGTTTAGGGGGCTTCGGGGTGCTTTGCTTCGGGGTGCTTGGGCTTTCTTGGGGCTACGAAAGCTTCAGTTGGCGTCTTGAGTACGAGGCTTCGAGTATAGGCGGTTGAAAGCTGGGCAACAAGCCCTAAACTTCCTAAACCCCTGAAATGCTAAACTCCCAAGCCCGTACACCCCCCTGAAATCCCAAACCCCAAACTCCTTGACACCTCAACTTCCAAACCGTCAAACCCCTCATCCCCTACACCCTAAACCTGAGCTCCGCTGAGGGCTGCAGGAGCCGCACACCCAGACTATAGTGTGTAGTATAGTCCATTATCCTGTATCCTACATAATGTATCCTAGCATAAGGTCATAACTTGTAACCAATCTAATATTGGTACATAATACTCTAATACCTTGCGTAGTAATAAGGAGGGATCTTACTTAGTATCACATGTGTCCAATATCGGGCAATATCGTATGAAAAACTCGTGTAAAGGCACACAAACGTGTGGAGCACACCGGATCGGCTGGAAATCATCGCCTGTTCATCGAGCTCATGTCTGGCTCAAGCCTGGAAACCACCCCTCCACATTAGCTTCCCCAAATCTCTCAACCACAAACCCTTGAAGTCGAGAGGAGAATTTACGAATGCCTCATACCACACACCAGCATAATTTTACTACGAGTATTGACTGCTGTTGAATGACTTGTCCCAGCTGAAAGTTTTTGAGACTGAAAGAGTGGGGGCCTGCATAGAAGCATTGTACGTTGGGATCAGCACCCGCTGCCACCAGCTGCGGCCTGATGTCTTATATGTAGTAAAGGAGCCTTCTTGGTGGTTTTGAATACATGGAAGGAAGTTACAGACGAGAGTCAGGGTTCCTCAAGAGACTGTGAACTTTACATAGAGGGCTTCTGGCGTCATGTCGTACTTCCGTTCTGTCAGAAGGCGAAAGCGACGGCAGAAGACTCTCTGGCAATCAGTGCGACAGGGACCAGCCACTCGCATTCCTCTTGCCCACACTCCGTGCTGCCATACCATGGCAGGGGCAGGCAGCTGTCAGCAAGGGTTCATGGGTTCTTGAAGCAAGGGAGATGGATTCTTTATTCTCTACTTCTTCTACATCCAAGATGCCACTTGCTTGAGTTTCCAATTCCACACCGAGGCTGTCACAACTGATCCTCAAGCCGCAGCAGGGAGGCGACGAACCTCGAGAGACTGCAATGGAGAGATCTGAGGCTGGTCCAACGAAGGGCACTGCGAGCTATGAGACTTGCTGATATTGATATTGGCTGGAGTTCCAAGCTCGTTGGTCTCGTGAGCCACAGTTCGAGGCATGGGATGCAGGAGCTGTAACAAAGGTTGGCAACCAAAGCACCTGCCGACAGCAGAAAGCTTGAAAGAAGTGGCACGATTGGTGGTAAGCACCCCGATCCCGGGAGCCAGTCGACCTCGACTGGTGGAGAGTGGGTGGATAGTGCAAGGAAGCAGCAATGGCGTCAGGAAGACGCCCTCCCAGTCGATGCTGGCTTCATTGATGCCACTGCTCCTCAGCATGTCGGATCGAACAGCAGAATTAAATCTCTGCCTAATATAGAATCATTGAGAACCGTGAGGCTCCCTCGCCCTGGATCTAGCCGTCGCAAGGTTGGGTCTCAGTCTGGGACCAGACCTGGCTTGTTTTGCTGCCTGGAGGCTCGTGATCTTGCGATAGGAGCTCCGTCAGCGGCTGGAAATCACTGTCGGGCACAGCGTCTCGCACCGTTGAGTTAGAACTGTTGACTCCCCCACTCCGCTCAGCTTCGTTCACTGGCAAGCACAAGAGAAGAGACCCCTCACGCTCACTCTGCCCTCTTGCTGTTGTTGCCTGTGGAGGCAGACTTGCAGGAACGCAGTTTTCCACTGATCAGCGGCCATGTGCGCGAATCGGATCCGGGGCCAGGACTGCGCTTGGTGCCTTGTGCTGCTGCTTCTTTGTCAACGCTGCTACATGCTGCCGTAGCAATGTCTTGTTGGAAGCCGGTCCAATGCTGTTAGCCAGGTCTTGCTGCAAGCATGTCGACTTGTGACAGGCCGCGGGCTTGATTGGCCTTTGGGGAATTTAGGGATCTCGGCTGCTGGAGCCACACAGTCCACCGGTGCAGATCGTGAGATCGTGAGTGCAGGAGTCGATCCTAGAGGATACTTAAGGCCAAGCTCTCCCCAAAGCTGCCAGTTTCTACCTCCTGGGAGTCCGCGGTCTTTGCCGCATCGCGCGCCGGAGCTGCACACTGGAGTCCTCAGTTCAGCTGCTGGCTGCAGTGCAACAAAGATTTCGAGGCAACGCCGCTCTTATTCCGGACTTACGGCTTAGGGCCTGTCGAAGCAAGAAAGCAGGGAAGATGTCGGGAGCGGGCGACAGTTCTACTTCTGTGTCATCGCACTGCCTTTGCTTCTTCCCTTCTTGGTGGTTTCGGGTATCAGGACTATCCATCAGATGAAAGGAGACGAATCGAAGGTAGCTTTTGTAAACTGCGGGAAGGCCGTCGCCTCGACGCTGTCGTTCGAGGCCTCCAGGACAAAGGCAAAGGTCTCGTTCTGCTCGGCCAACAGAGCCTTGGCCTCCAGTGTGCCACGTGGTCATATAACGGCTTGACTAAAACTGTAGTAAGACTAAAGCAGGGACGATAAAGGGATATCATTTTATTATTATAAAAATACTATTCACGGCTCCGACCCCTACATATATCAGGCTTTAGGAGGGGGAGGCGAGTGGACCTGAGCATTGTACGCATAAAACATCAAAGGGATGCACTGAGCACGAGGGCCACGCGGCAAAAAAACCTGCTGTGAATCTTTCGGCAAAACGAACCACTTTGGAAGCCCTTGTATATAGCATTCCCGCCACGGACGCGAGTTGCACAGAAAGGCCCATAGATTCCATAAACCTACACTCGATCTCGAGATCGATGGCCGGAGACGGCCTCCTGCCGCGGACTTTGCACAGCAGGCTCGTGACGATGAGAGTCTGTGCCGAGGTCGAAGGCCTTTGCTCGCACGCGAGGAATCAACTTGAGAATCTTTGGCCTTGCCGCATATAGGGCATATTGCCGATCCTTGTATAAATAAATAAATAAATGAATATATACATATATATATATATGTGATGTAATGGACCTGCATGGAAACTGGTCCCAAGCTAACTGAGAAGTTGACCTCAGTGCTTCTTGACTTCCGGCTCTCTGCCGGGGCCAGGCTGCCTGGCGTCGAAAGGAGCTTACAAAGAAGGGTCCCCCAAACGATGGGGTTGAGCAGCCTTAAGTGCAAGCGTTGTATAGCCACAGGCCCGAGACTGCGCGGTGCTACTTTGAAGCAAAGATAACGCTCATGCTCCGTGCTCGTGAGAACCTGGGATGCCAGACCCAAGGCACAATCGGTCTCATGCGGACTAGCATTTACGGTGTCGAACGAAAAAACCAAGAGAGCTCCTGCAGAATCTTAGACGCAGAGCCTGTCTCGATCAGCCTTCTTTCGCTCAGCTCTTAGTAGCAAATGCCTACAACACCTGCATCGGTCTCGATGATTTGCTTGGAACGCATCCGTTACGGTGGTCCACGAGCTGAAATGGACACTTGAGTACTTGAGCAGTATACCAAACTGTGAATCTGGCTGATCTATAGGCTATACGCTCATTAAGAACCCCCAATGTCTCATTATCATCACGTAGAGGACAATACAACACAACCGACAACCTAATGTACTAGTACAACATATTGCATATTCTAATACACGGTAACTGACTGCAATGTCATGTAACATAATGCAGTGGAACGTCATGTAAAATAATTGAATTTCTCACAGCATGATATTACTTTTCGCCGCCGTGTATAGTATGATACTAGACTGTCATATACTATGACTATACCACATTAAACTCGACGATTTTACTGTATTATGTTATGTTGTATTATGTCGTTTTTGTTTTCCACGGCTGTCTATTCCATGATGTTTCGCCCAGAAAGCTGCCAGTCGCCTTCACGGCTCTCAGGTTCCGAGATCTCACGTGGGCTCACCGGGTCCATGGACTCTGTGAAGCTGAGATCCTTCGCCAAAGCTCGAAAGTGCCGGATCGTAAAAAAGCTCGGAGGGTCCTATTGTGATAAGTTTTTTTGTTGTACTGCTGTGCTGTTTGTTATCATCATTGTCATGATAACCTCGCAATCATAGCCATTATTCTGAAACCGTTCGAATGGAGTTGTGTGGAGAGAGGGAGTCTCATGATAAGCGTGAACTCCCTTTGCATATCAGCTTAGCCCGGCTTCTAGGCCCTCAGAGCTTCGTGCAGAGAACCAAGCTGAAGCATGCTGCACTATGCTCACTGACGTACTCCGCTGCCGCCAAAGCTCCGCCGGCACCTTGTCAAACTCCTTCCTGCGTAGCGGGTGGGTGCAAAGGAAACGGCTTCTGTGTAATGCATGTCTTATGTGCCCTTCGCGGTGCTCTTTAAGTCACAGACCCTCCATGCGGCCTCGAGGCAGCGCGCAGTGCTCGCGCGCAACGCCTCCCAGCCAGGCGGACAAGTTGCACGCGCGGTGGCTCACGGCATCCGCCCTGTGCCTTTCGATAGACTCGCAGCGTGCGCGGAAGAAGTCGGTCTCTCTTTCCACCTGCAAGCGCGACCAAGCCCTCGACATGTCTCAACGCCATGAAGATGATTCACACAACACTTTTTCAAACCTCTGCGAAGTAGCCTGTGCCTCGCTGTCGGCGCTGTCCTCCAAGTCCAGGTCCTGCTTGAAGCCAAGTCCTAACCTAGAGACTGTGCAGAGACTATGTTGTAGAGTTTTGGAGGTCTCGGACTTGCCATGCCTCCCATGATCCCACTCAACTCACTATGCTGCCTCTTCTTGTCTGGTGGAACGTCGTCGGTCCAGTGTCGAGTTAGCTAGCCATGCCAGGCTCTCCCGAGTGGAGATGGACACTTTTCAAGATTTCCTGCTTGTGGCGATCGCCTGGCCTTCCGAAACACTTCCACAGCGCACCTGGAGGTCAAAGCCGGCTGCCTGCATCGCTCGCAGCTCGGCAGACAACCTCACAGCTGATCATGTGTCAGGGACATCTGGAGGCTGAGGTGGAGAGAGACACTGAGAACACGGAGAGACAGAGGGGGAGAGAGCACAACAAGGAGCGCTCGCCACATGCTGCTTGCCTCGAAACCTCACCGGAGGAGTTCTCGCATAGCCGGCGAAGGGACTGGGTCTCCTGCAACCTGCCATCGCAGAAACTGGCACAAGAGCCACGGAAATGGATTTGGCATGAACACCTCCATTAAGTCAGCGTAACTTCCCAGCACGAAACCCCCGCATGAGCTGAACACGAATCTCCCAACTTGTCAGCTGTCCTGACATCCTAGGCCCACCAGCTCGGAACCAACTGTCTGCACATGACTAGCAGTAACAAGTTAGGAGTGATAATGCGAACCGGAATAGCACTAGCAACAGCACTGGTCACTAAACGTCGTAGCAACAATCGTCATAGACATAGCAATGTGATGTCTAACTAACCAACGAAGCAAACAACATTTCAGAAGCAACTTCTGCGGCGAAATGAACACCGTTGCCTCGCTGCCGACTCTGCAGCGGCTGCCTCGCTTCTCGAGGCCCCGTCGCTGTGGCGATGGGACGCGGCGGCTTCCGCTCTGCGGAGGCTGTGGACCTCTTGGCGTTCTATAGGGGCTTAGGGGCTGAAGGTTTACATGGCATAGGGGTCTATAGGGTTCAGGGGGCTAAGGGCGTTTAGGGTTCAGAAGAATCTCTGCAAAGGCGGGTCTAAGGGCGCATACTCAGTCACCGTACCTGGGGCCGTGTGCCCCACATATTCCTGTATTTCGAAGTGGCTTGCCGCGATTTCGCTTCAGACTTGCAGGCGATGGGCTGATTCAATGAGCAGCTTTCTTCTCTCTGTCAGATGCCACACGGGTCAGCCTGCACGTAAAATTGCGGGTTGCAAAATCGATTCGATTCAACGGTGTCGCACTGCACACAGGTTGAAGACAACGGATGTCAGATCGACCTCATGAAGTGCCATCACCTGTAGTCCGTTTGGATCTGAATGAGAGATCAAGACAAGTAACACTAGACAAAGAAATACAGTAGTCAGTAGTTGGACTCGAAGACTGGAAGCGAGAGAATCCGAGAGAACACCTTAGAGATGGTGTGAACAAGTAGTGTTGGAAGCAAGCCAAACCTCGATTGTCCACAAATGCTCCTGACACCATCTTAAAGTCATGGAGTAGTGCCTTTTTGGCGGACACTGTGTCTTCAGGGGAAGAAGAGCGCCCTGGGGCCTCTGTTCCGGGTATATGAGCTTGGGATGCGCTTTATTCGCAATGTGCGTCCTGTGGTGGCCAGCTCTACTTCTTGAAACCCCGAAACATACTAGCAACCAAGTCCCAAAACCTGATACCGGCAGAACAACCCACTGCCCTCATCTCCCCCTGCCTCCTCTTCGTGTTGTGCAGTCAGCATCGCAACTTCCTTTTCCTGGCTTGTAGATTGTCAAGTCGGCCGTTCCGAGTCTTGTACCATCTAACAGCTAAAATTTAAAAGATACCCAAAGCCTCAAAGCCAGTCTCTGAATCCGCGTAATCCGGCGTCAGGACACGTTTTTTCATGGACGAACGAGACGGACAGGCACATGGCTGACTTCCTAGCTGATTCATCCTTCCGCCGAACTTATACCCAAGCCTCAGTCAGAGGACTTCCTGACACACCAGCTCTACAGCTCGCAAGCCAATCAAGGCTTGCCGGGCCCACAGTTGCAGCAGCGACTGCCTCGAGCTCCGCCTTGTAGACACGACCCATCTTTGTGGTTCGAGTCTTGAAGTTTTGAGCAGCGGCATGGTGAGGAATGTATATTATGCGGGTCTTGCGACTTTTGCTGAGGGCTCAATTCAGGAGGATGGCTGAACATCGGCTTGGAGTTTGGGTTTGGACCCACCTTGCGCAGTACAGGTATCGATGCTTGAGGTCAGCCCTGCAGCTGGTCAGCCAGTGATGTGGCCTGCATCTCGTGGACAAAAGCCTCGCGCTCCTGCCACAACACGACTGCAAGCTGTCTTGCACGTGACTAGTCCTGCACGCAATCCTCGACACCCATGAAAGGAAGCTCTGCTTCGCAGCTCCGGAAGTCTGTTCTTGTTCTTGTTCTTGTTTCGGCTGCTCAAACGCCTTGGCCTGATGCATCCTGAGGCCTGAGCCTCTCAGCCCCAATGTATCTCCCTTCAGTCTGAAACTTGGAGCAAGCTTTCCGGATTCTCGCCTTGGCGTGCCGCTGTTCGATCTCGCGCTTCTCAGTTGTGCACCTGGAGTAAGGCCGAGCTGTGCCGAGCTGGACCCCGGCAGGCCACGTCTGAGCTTGTCACGAAGATCCCCGAGAAGTACATATGGTACGGTGAGCAACCAGTAGATGTAGCACATAAAAGGGATATGCTACAACAGACACAGCAATTATACTTGCACGCATACTGAATATAACATTCTTCGTACATACATAATCTTGTGTCTATATGTACATATACACATGTATATAAGTAGCCTATGACTGATATAATTATACATCTATATATATACACACAGATAGATAGATAGATAGATAGATAGATAGAGATAAATAGAGAGATAGATGGAGACCTGCACATGCATTCACATATGTATATATATATATACACACATGTACACATAATGTAAATATACTTGTTTATTGCATATTCCACGTTCAAGCATTATACCTCTCTCTCTCTATGTATATATATATATATATGTATATATATATATATGGAGTTACGCAAATGTAAACTCAGTCCTCTGAGGAAACCCGGCCTCTGCCTCGCCGCCTCCAACTTGGAGCGCAGTTGCAGCTCACGGCGTCGGGCAGCGACGGACTTTGCAGCCAGCTCCTGGAACAGAGGACAGAGCCCGGCTCGCGGTTTGTTCGAGTCCGTCAGAGGGCTTGCAGACTTGAGGGGCTGAGGATGTTGAGGATCCCATCACACAACTGCAGCCCATGCACGGCACGATACGGCACGCCACATTCCAAATGTTGCCGTGTTAAGTCGGGATGGAAGCTTTCTTGAAACTTGCCGACCTGTCGCTGAAAAGCTCCACGCTCCCAAATGTCCCAACAAGGCCTCCGCATCTTCGCGGTGCTGCCGCAGCTCGGCCGAGAGGCTCGCCCTCTCTGCCTCGAGCACACCTGGCACACAGGCACCGCTTTCTGCTGCGTTAGGGCAGCCTCGCGAATCTAAGGATGTGAAGTTTAGCATGTGCTGTTAGAAGGCTTCGGAGGTTTTCCGCTGAGGGTGTCCAATCTCTGTCACGGCTCTTAGGAAAGCCGTCGCTCAACCTTTGGCGGTACGGCTTTACGGTAATCGGGACTGTGCCTGTTCCAGAGTCCTTGGACGGATTGGATGCAGATGGAAACCCCACCACAATGAAAACAACGCGAACGTGACTGTACATTGCATTAGCAGTGCATTAGCAGTTCCTGTTGGCTCTCCCTGTGTGGCTTCTCAGCCCGCCTTCTCAGGTTCCCTCGCCCTCTTCTTTCCGTCCTCTCTTTTTGGAAGCTGTGTGCAGCGCAATTTTGAGGAGCCTTGTCGCTGGCGCAGCAGATCCACATCGTCGTGGGCGCCGATCGGGCGCTTGTGCTGCAAACCTCGGCCAGGATGCCAGGTGGAAGCGAGACAGCGCAGTCGCAATATCCATTCCCAAGGATTCCCAAGGTTTCAACATGGCATTAGCGGGATTGCTGCAAGGCTTTGGACTCGTACTGCGCTTACGACTAAGATGGCTTGACATGAGCTGGCCATATCTAGCTCAAACACTTCATATACACTGCTCGGGGCACCAAGTGAATGGCATGAATGGCTTCGCACACATCGGCGTGTGCCTCTTGCAGTCATGCTCTTCGTGTTTGCTCGGCCGTGAGGGCAAACCACAGCTATCGCTTCGAAAGTCAGTGTTTGCCGCACGTTCTCTGGTGCATTATGCCAGGAAAATCGACGACAGTACCAACAGCAGGCATACAAGCAGTCACATCGTATCGGGCCAGACGGGCTTGCAGCGGCCAGCGGTAACGACAACAATACAGCAAGAGGTACTATCTGCAGTGTTGTGATCGTCCTGATCATTGTTTTCACCGCATGATTGTTCTGTCGATTCGTGGTATATTCGACGCTGCTGAAAGTTGCCACTGCCCTTTTCGTATGTCATTAGATCGGTAGTGTTAGTACCAGTCAGTATGCTAAACTAGGATTATGCCATGTCCTTGAGTGGCTGTGGCTCTCACTATTGGTGATCACTCTAAACCCTGAACATTCGGGACTGTAAAAGCAGCTCTGAGCAGCTCTAAACCCTAAACTTTTGGTGCAGCCCTTTTGGGGTCCTTATAATAAGGA